CCCTCGGCCGCGCCGCCGACCCCGACTTCGTCAAGGGCCGCGGCTACAAGTACTGCTCCTCCTCCGACGTCCAGATGACCGGCCGCCCCGTGCCCCCCGAGCCCCTCACCGAGGACGAGATCTGGGTCAAGATCAACGCCTGGCGCGACGCCGCCAAGAAGGTCGTCGCCGCCGGCGGCGACGGCGTCGAGATCCACGGCGCCCACGGCTACCTCGTCGACCAGTTCACCCGCGACTCGGCCAACAAGCGCACCGACAAGTGGGGCGGCTCCGTCGAGAACCGCGCCCGCTTCCTCCTCGAGATCGTCAAGGCCTGCGTCGAGGAGATCGGCGCCGACCGCGTCGCCCTTCGCCTGAGCCCCTTCGCCACCTTCCAGGAGTCCTACAGCACCGACCCGGACACCTGGGAGCAGACCATCTACATCATCCGCGAGCTCAAGAAGGCCGGCTACAAGCTCGCCTACATCTCCCTCGTCGAGGCCGTCGGCAACCCCGTCAACCTCGGCATCGTGCCCCGCCAGCCCACCGACGACGTCCAGCCCTTCGCCGAGGACCGCCCCCAGACCCTCGACTTCATCCTCGAGGAGTGGGACAACATCTCCCCCGTCGTCGTCGCCGGCGGCTACCTCGGCGACAGCGCCCGCTGGGCCGTCGACGAGCGCTACAAGAAGTGGGACGTCGCCGTCGCCTTTGGCCGCTACTTCATCTCCAACCCCGACCTCGTCTTCCGCGTCAAGAACAACATCCCTTTCACCCCCTACGACCGCTCCACCTTCTACCTCAAGAAGAGCAACGAGGGCTACAACACTTGGGAGTTCTCTGAGGAGTACGTCAAGGCCAACGGATCCGCTTAAAGGGATACATATGATAATATGATCAGACATGTGGGCATCACGGCATAGCACTGGAGTTTGGGTTTGATTTTTAGATACACATATACCGTATAGAGACAAATACATTTTTCTTTTCTCTTGAATGGGATCTTTCGTGCCTGTGAGGCTAACATCAAAGTGGGCAATTTCTTGACATGTTTCAGAAACGTATCGTGGATATTTTAAGTTGCCATTGTGATTAGCTTATCCAAAATGTGGTATTAGTCTGCGAGATTTGGTGCTGTCCATGTATCAAGTACATTAGCCGCCCAGTGAATCGAGGAATGGCGCCGTACTCGTGTGTCGTCGGATACCAACATCCCAGCAACGTCAGGGGCAAGTACGTACAAGCGTACTGGAACTGAACTCATTACCATTATGAGCAATCCGTCCTCTTGCGGAGATCGTTCACTTTATTGCTGGACCCTTCCGAGACGGCCAACTTGTCCTGTGTCTGTACACCTCACTATGATTTATTGTCGCTGTTGTCGTCATCAAGTACAGAGAAAATGTAGCATTACAAACACAGAAAAGTCAGACGGTTTCTTCATTCCAAGCTCAGTGGAGTGGACACTGTTCGGATTAAGGAGGTTTATGTACTGAGGCGCCTCAGATCCAGCTTTTGCGGTTTTCCATGTCAGTTCACAGGCTCGTCCTACAAAAACGTTCACATGCACATACATACACAAACTGAAATCCGATCATTACGCAGAACAAGGAGAGCATCAGGCCACTGGACTTTCACTTTGGAGGGCTTCGATGATGCAGGGGTTAGCTGAACCATTGTTCAGGGTAAACCCAAGGCCATAGGTTTGCTGTGAATAATGTATCCTATCAAGTTGAGAAACATAACACCAAGGCAATCAACATTCCCCTCCAAAACTAGATTAGCAACTGAGAAGACTCTGACTAATGCAACATACCTATTCGAAATGCAATCGTTTTAGAAAACTTCGTAGGCGGTCTTGGATATAGTGATTCCCATATGAACTTTCCGCTGCTGCCAAGAGCCTCTTTCTCAGCCTGCAGATGGCAATCATGCGTAGCAGATCTTCAACGACGAAGTCAGCAGTGACACACCGGGTACTCTTGTGTGAACTATGCCACTTCAATGCTAGCATAAATGAAGTGCTACGATGTCTGTTGGACCGAAGTTCAGCTTCGTGACTTCGTCCTGCCTCGAATGATGAAGCCAATCCAGTCTGATATCTTGATATGCCGACTAGAATGCAATCTACTAAGTTAGCATTTAGAACTCATGAAACCGAAGTTACGACGCGCGTGACACCGCAACGTTGGAAGACAACACAAAACCAGAACCCATCATGCGAAGCCTGGGCGCATGTGAGTCGCTTGACAAAGCCTGCACAGGTCGATACCAACAGACTTCTTGTAGTCAGTTTCTGACCATGCAATGACATCGATGAGGAACCAGCCTAGCCTTTTAAACAGACGAAGACTCGTTTAGCAACAGAACAAAGACTGCATGCACTCGGAGACTACATCCGACAGCTAGCAGCGAGAAACATATTCAAAGTCGCTACATCTTCTATGAACTGTATGACAACAATTACAGCAAATACGAAGGTGACCATTGAGCATCAAACGAAAAGAGAAACATCCTTCAACCTGATTTTCAGAGTTCAATTTATGCTACAAGGAAAATTTAGCCTCTACTTTAAAGCTGGACTTTGCTCTACATATTAGGCTATCTTAATGCTTCAATCTTTCCGCCATAGGACCACTCGTTCGTTCCATGCTGCAAATACCGATATTAGTTTTCTTGTAACGGCGAAGACGCTTGATTCGACAAGAAAGATATTGAATTTGCTTCTTTTCACATACCAGACCGTGTGTCTGTTAACGAACAGTGAATGCGAATCAAAAGTAATGTGAGAGACCCTAGTGTAGACTGTAAGTTGAACACCATGAGGAATTCTCATGGTGTTTCCACACGTATCAACAAGGAACCAGCCAACACCGTCAAGCAACTTATTGAAATTCTCACACGCGCTACTCATAACCTCACAAAAGAGTGCCGTCAATACTTGGCAACCCACCAAACCCGTCGAAATCCGCCCCAAGACCCCAAGCCCACTTTCATAACACTCTCTCCCCGCTCCGACCCTCAAGCAAGCAAGCTCGAGTCCTCAGGACAAGCGGCCGGTTGGCCCAATGGCAAGGCGTCTGACTACGATCCATACCCAAAAGATCGTGCAATCAGGAGATTCTGGGTTCGACCCCCAGGCTGGTCAAACTTTTTGGCAGAAAATGCCGCTTAGAAGCTTGGAAACTAATGTCGTGGGGTTGGTGTAAGTCGTCCGCGTGGTGGATATCGCAAAGAATTTTTTTTCCTTTCCTGCCATGCGCCAGCCAGCGCGCCAACGTGGGAAACCCGCTCTAAAGGTCCACCACACTTACCTAACTAAGGTAACCAAGCTTGACTGACCCCGGCTCTGTCGACAACTCATGAACCATGGCCATAGTTGCATAGTTACACGAGGAGAAAAGGGGAATTTCCAAAAAGTTACTTAGATGAACGGATGCAGAGGAATCGTTCGAGAATCCTTCGTTGTATTCTTCGGTGGGACTTGGCAGAAGTCCGAATAGAGAGAAAAGCCGCATAAGTAAGTACTTTGTACATACCCCTGCAACTCCTGAAAGAGACAGAGAGAGTGACAACAACATGCAACCAACGCAGGGGGGGTTGGTTTCCTAAAACTCAGTGACAAACAGGTCGCAACGTCAAGGCTCGCGGCGTCGCCGGCCGGCAAAGCGTGTGTTCGATGTCGATCCCCCTCATTCCCGCCGCCAAAACGCAACGTGGGCGCGCGACCAAGAAACCACATGGTTCATCGAGGAACCTCATAAACAAGAAACATTAACCACCACACACGCACACCCCCCCTACTATGTAGGTGGAGCGAGCACTGAAGAAAAGGCGTGGACCTCACATGTCGCCTTGCCTTGCCCTGCCTGGCCCCTTCTCCACACAAGGTGAACAGAGCGTTCGCACCGGGACCCGGATTGCGGCTGTGTGCCTGGTAAGGCGGAGACACAGTTTATCAGGCCTGACTCGGCGCCGCCCTTTTCCCCCAGCCCGCCCCCCGGTCCCTCTCGCCAAAAACCTCACCCCGGTCCCCCGGCTGCCCAACTTTCATAAAAGACCGGTATGGCCTTGGGCCTTGGGCGAAGCTTGGGCCATCTCGATAGACTCCCGAGCCTCGAGGGGGGGGTTGGTTTGGTTGGCGGCGGCGGCGGCGGGGGCTTGACCTGGCCCGTGTGTGGATTATGCCGAGAGAACAAGACAGCAGTCATGAAAGAGGCACGGGATCCCGGGTGCCCGGGGGAGGGGGGTGTTCGTTCAACGGCTCATGGGATGTCTTTTCTCTCCCCCTTCTCTCTTAATTCCGTGATGCTTGTCAGTCAAGGCCGGCAAGGCCGCCCTCACAGCGTCGCAACCCGAGAAAGGCAAAGAAAGATCGGCCATTTTTTTCTTTAAAGTGCTCGTGTGTTGTTGCTCCAGGATGCCATGACTTACCGGGAACCATCACGATATATTATCGCGCATCGTTCTGTACACTGTGTATCTGTAGTGTAACACAGAACCAAAACTCAACGGGCGTCGATAGACATCATGACAGATTCGGAAAGAAACCCCCATAGGAAGAACAAGACTGGGTGGGGTACTCTGACCTCCCAAGGCGAACGTTAGAAAGGAGATGATTACTTTTTTTCTTTCTTCCCTGCTTCTTCTCTTCGTATGCGAACCGTGGCTTTTCTACATGATTATGATACACGCCATAGGGTCGAGTCGTTATGCGACGGAGACCATCTCTCTCTTCTGTCAGATGGCATCTGCCCCATTTTCTCTCTCGAATCCGTGGCGAAATATGGCAAAAAGGTCATAGGTCATAGGTCATAGAACAGGTCATAGAACCAGACTTTCCCCTGCCTTGGTCCCCAAGTCCCCCGAATGAGAGAAAAAACCAGACGCCCGCCACCGCCCTTTTCTTTCCGCGCGATGGAGAAAAATAATCCTACACATCAGAACCGTGAATCGTTCCTCTTCCCTGGACACAGGGTATACACGTGTCTGCCCGCCTTCATCAGAAAGGAAAGAGTCGCTTAGGCGTCCCAGTTGTTGGTCTGGTGCTTCCTCTGCTCCTCGGCCTGAGCAGCATCGCCCTCGGCCTCCCTGGCCCGCGCGTTACGAGCCCTGCGGTTGTTGACGGCTCTGGGGTCTTCTTCCTGCTTGCTAACCGCAAAGTTGACCCTGACCTCACGCCCGCGGAGAACCTTGCCCTCAATCGCGGCTCTGGCCTCCTGCGCAGCCTCAACCGAGTGGAACTGTGCGTGGGCAAACCCGCGAGGCCAGCCCGTCATCTTGTCGACCGCGACACGCACGTCCTTGACATTCTGGAAGACGCCGAAAAGCTCGTTCAGCTCCGCGTCGGTGGCCTCGAAGGACAAGTTTCCGACGTAGAGCGTGTCCGTCGGAGCGTTGTTGTCTACGGGCCGACGGTCGGGCCTTGAGCGTCTCTCAGAGTTCGGAGCCTTGGCCTCGGTCTCCTTGACGGCGATGCGACGACCATGCCAGAAGGTGCCGTCCACCTCCCGAACGGCCTCCTGGACGGAGGCTGCGTCCTTGTAGTAGACGAAGCAGAAACTGTATTCGAGCAATGTCAGCAAACCATTCGTCGTCGTTCTCCCCTTCCTGCTCGCGTAAAAGCTATCGCGAGGGGGAGGGAACGGGGCAAGGATTAACAACGTACGTCTTCCTGGGAGGCTGCGAAACGCCAACGACCTCTCCGAACTTGGCAAACGCCTCAGCGATCTCGTCTCTGGAGACCTTGAAGGGGTAGTTCTGGACAAAGATGCAGTGTTCACTCGGGGGAGGACGGTTCGCGCCCTCGGACGCATACCGCTGCGACTGCTGCTGCTCCTCCTCGCACAAGACGATGGAGCGGGAGAAGGCTCTCGGGGCGGCGACGGAGAAGCATCTCACAGCGTTGGCGGAGCGCAGGGCAAAGGCGATGGACTGCGTCTTGGGCGCGGCGGACGCAGCGGCCGAGATGGCGCTGGTCAAGCTGGCGCGGGTGGCTGCGCGACGAATGGACTGCCTGTATGTCGGGGTGGCCAATTAGCTCCTGTTCGTGCGCGGCATTCTGGTATGAAAATCTCGACGATAGCAATGGTGTAAGACTCACATTGTGAAGGATAATGGTCCTTGGGAGTGGGTGGGATATGGTAGACGACGATGGCGATGTGAGCAGACGGAGGCAATCGACTGACGGGCGAAATGGAAATTTTTGGTTTGCCGTGTAAAGTGGTCTCGATTGGGAGCGCGCTAGCCCATATTGGGCTCTAGCGCACCCGGCCGTGACCCACCCAAAACTTCAGTCCGCACGATACTAACATTACCATTCGGTATTTGTAGATGCTCCGTTTCTTTGATTGTATTTCACGAAGTTCAATGCTAGGGATGAGTTCACGAAAAACACTGTATTTCGACTCAAAGGTCTTGGATTCATTTAGACGATTAAAACTTGTAGCTCACTGGCTACTCGATTGCCCAACGAGAACCAAGCTCGTCGCTGGAAGACGGACTAGATCTTACCTAGTTCCGCCCCGGTCAGTCGAGATTGTCAGAATCCATGAAAAGCGTCAATCATCGAACCTGCCCCACGGTTTCCTCAGAACTTTTGATTTTTCTTCCCGACGCAAGGCTTCGGATCTGATCACGATCCCAGCCGACATTGCTTTACCATGGACCAACGCGTGGGTATATACACCTGAACACACCGACCCCTTCCTGTCCTCGCCATACCGATACCCCGTATCGATTTTGCTTTCCAAAACGCAAGAGAGAAAAAAAAAGGGCGCCGTCTGACTTTTTATCAACCGACAAAGCACGAGGGTATCAGGACGTCCCTCGCTGCCAGCAATCCACTGGGCTCGGACTGACTGAATGTGACCTGCTGGCGAAGAGCAGCATATTGGCACATTCGACACAAAAGATGGGAGATACGATTCTCCTAACAAAAAAAGAGAAAAGCATAATCTCAGAGTACAGAACTGTAATAAAACACGCGAACCTTTTGTGAAGGTCACGGACGGTGGAACGTTGTTTTGACCGAGTCCACCAACCCATCATGCCGCGATTGCGATTTGCCGCTCTGGTTGATTCAAGTCGGCGTGATTTTGAAGAGATGATGAAGTGTGTGCTGCTAGGGCTTGGGCAAGGTCCTTAGTTTGCTCAATACCTCGCCTCTGCAGGACGATAACCGCCGTTGACTCTAGGTGCTTCGTACTGTACGCCGGTCATAGAGTCAGGCCCATTGGGAATCGCGCCGTTCAGCCCTCTAATAGGCGGGAGCTCGCGACGACTTGTGTAGGGGTCTGTCTGATAAGGTGCTTGCTGAGGGGGCGGTGGTACTTGGGCTTGCGGGGGAGCCTGGCCTGTTGGCGCTTGTTGCATTCGGAGGTTGTGCAGTTCACCCTGGAGCCGCTGAATATCAACTCGGAGGTTATGATTGTCCTGTCGCATGGCGTCGTTCTCCTGCATCACGGTATTATTTTGTCCCTGGACAATCCGAATGACATCCGCCATACGCTGGTGCTCAGAAATTGCTGCAACTAGGTCAGATATCTCCCGCCGCGACCGAGGTTATCGTTAGTTACTTACCCTTTGTAAGAATTTCCCACTTGGAAGCTTTGGAACCCCGCTCTTGGGGCATCAAGTCTCGCAACTGGTCGAACAGCTCCTTCATTTCCGTTCTCCTCTTTCGCTCCGCCAATTTATGACTCTTACGCAGCTCTGGGGTGCGACTGTAAGGCTGGGCTCCTGTTCTCGAGGCGGCGTCGTCATCGCGAAGATCTCCGATCTGCTTATGTTGCAGCGAGTGGTGGTGTACTGGAGGGAAATCGGATGAGGTGCTCGAGAGGCGATTGTTGAAGTCGGTAGGCTCGTCCAAGCGTCTTTGGCCCGGGGGCAACCTCGATTCGGTGGTAAACTGACTGCTGGCGATGGATTCGGCAACACTACTGCGTCTGGAGTCAAGGTAGGCATCGTGAGGCCCGATTCGCTGAATCTCCTCCTCCGGGAAGGCCCAAGCTTGACCCTTAGTCGGCTCGGCAGCCCTCGCGATGTTGCTGGTAGCGGGTCCGGTGATGGCGGGTGCGGTTCGGATGATCTTTGGATTAGGGTCAGGATTTCTGTCATTACTTGGCTGGTAGCCGTTGGAGATGCGGTGTACCGAGAGATTGTCCAGACCCTGACGCGGGTTCCTTTGCTGGTTAAGAGTATTTTGAATCGACGTTGTCGACTGGTTGTGACTTGCGTAGGGGGAGTTTCCGCCTAGCCTCATCTCGTGAAAACCCTGATTTATCCTGCTGTCGACACTTTCTCTGCGTGAAGCGGTGCCGAAGTCTTGAGCAAGCAGTTGCGGATCCGAGTTCAAGGACGTCGGTCGTTCGAATCTACGCGGATCGGCACTCCCGGGTGTCGTCGGCGAAACCATGGAGGCGACGCTCATGTTGCTCGCGGGCGACACAAGGGGTTGGGGTACTAGGTTCGCGGTGACGGGAGAGGGCGTCTTGTCGGCCAACGATGACTGGTAGCCTGAGCCGGTGGGACTGAGGACGTTGCCTACACAGGAGGCAGCAGAGTTGTCTGTCAGGGTGCGTGTTAGCTAGATGATCGTTGCATCATTCGTAATGACTCCACCGTCGACGTACGCTTGCTGGATGCATCTGTACTAGAGAAGTAGGCCGAGTCGCGGTTCTCATCTGGATTTAAGACCCCTGCCAACCCCGCGGGCAACTTCTGAGAGATTGGTCGCTGCGCGTCCATGTTGTATAATTGTCGTAAGCTACTGGGAAGAACGAATGCTGAAACCTATATCGAGCGCAAGTCGGTTCGAGACGGTGGTTGGGGTCGACGGCTCAAACGTCTAGGGCGAATGACTCTCGGGCGAGGCGAGGAAGATTAAGTAGACGGGCTATGTGCGCAGGAGTACCGTTGAGAACAATCGAATTGTCCGTGGCCCGACGACGAAGATCATGCGATGACGGCAGCCTTTTGAGAAGGCGTCTGATAGTCGCAGGCTGGTCAGATGGTTGAGATTTGAAGGTAAAGAGCGTGTGGTGTTGGATACGGCGGTGATGAGGAGGTGATGGTGGAAGGCGAAAGCGACGGCGAGGATGCAGGACGGAGACGAGGTTAAGTTGGACGAAGTCAAGGAAACAAGGAGGAGAGGTCTAGCAAACTCGAGGGTCGGCGTAGGCGAGGGCGGGTGGAGGAGAAAGACGGCTGGAGGCAGTCGGTTTCAAGACTGGGAAGAGCTGGGGGTGGAGGGGATAAGATGGAATTGAACAAGCGGCAGCGCTAGGATGACTTGGCCTGAGTAGAGCAGCCAGACGTGTAGACGCAGACACAGACGCAGAGCGAGAGCAAGAGCCACAGCCAGGAGCCAGTAGAGGCCCACAGAAAAGAGCGAAAGAGACGGCACCAGGGAGAGCGACGGTCTTCGTACCGTGCAATGTACCTCAGCCGGGGGTGAGGGGGGGGGGGGCACGATTGCACAGGTCAAGCCAAGGACAGGGCAAGACACAGGGTTTCTGGGGACAGGGGGGTAGGGGCAACGAGGGAGTGAGGGTAAACTATCCATCTCTGCTGTATCCGTATGAATACATGCACAAGTACCTTACGTTCGTTACCTTACCTTACCTCACATGGGGGGAGCAGCGGATGGAGATGTGGCCTGGCGGTGATTTGGATTGTGCCTTGGTCCATGGTACGAATACCTGGGTCAGATGTGTGTACCTTATCCCACATCCCATTCCCTTTTTTTTTTGCCAGAGGGGCACAGAAGACTGATGAGGACAAAAGCAACGTGCGTACTGTGATTTGCAGCATTTCGGAGGGGGCACAGAGATGCAGGTCCATGTTCACGTCCAGGTCCAGGTCCAGGTCCAGGCGAGCGAGTTGACGCAGCATCAACAGTAGCAACGCAACTGACTGGGTGTTTGTGATCTGGAGAAGAGTGAGGGGAAAAGGTTGGGTAAGGTAGGTAGGTAGTGTGTAGGTAGGTACGAAGGCTGGTACCTAGGTGGGCGAACGAACAGGCGCCGGAACATGGACGCTGGAGTGGCACTGGCGTCTATCCGTAGGTAAGGCGCGGCCAGGTAGGGTGCCTAAGGTAAGTGTGAAAGTGGTGAGGTGAGGTGATGTTAGGTTAGGTGCGTGCCTCTTGATCTGGGTCTGGTCCTGGCTCGAGCAACGGCAGGCCTTTCCGTCTGGTTCTCGTGCTTGTTCTTGTTCTTGGTCTTGCTCTTCACCTTACTGCGGCAAGGTAGGTTCTCCTCCTTCGCTGTCACCATCACCATGGAACATACACTATGCAGTATCAGTATCCGTACCGTATATCCATCGACACAACCACCTTCTTCCTGCGTCTCTTGCCGAAGAGCTCCCGCCCATCCTTGCGATGCGCCGTCGACCTGAAAATAAGGTATCTTAGCTAAGGTGTTATTGCACTGCGCAACCATGGGCGGTTAGGTACTACCGTGCCGTGTCCTGTCCTGTCCTGTCCTCGCAACCTGATTAAAGTACAGGCGTAGCCCGATCGAGTGTATGTACCCGTGCTCTTTTGGGGTGCCGCTGCCAGCCCACCCTCCGCTCCGTCCAGCCCACGCCTCCAGAGACAAGGCATGGGGGGGGTCTAGCGTCCATGTCGACGCAGACGAGAAAAGTACCTCGTCCGTAGGTACTGTAGACCCGGCTTCACCTCAGCGTGCCTGCACACCAAGTCCTATTCTACCTCTTTGTCATACCCTGCGAGCCCCGCGCCGTCGTGCCACAAAATGGCAGCACAACCGAACCTTGCTCGGGTGGTTTTGCCCACGCATGGGCGCTGTTCGCGTTTCTTATTTCCCGGCCTGCGCGGTAACGGATACCTGAGATGGCTGTCCCGCCAAGCCCATCATCCCTGCCCGCACGCCCCAGAGGGACAGCTCCATCACCACCTTACCTTGCAGTGTACATGGCGTCCAGACAGCCCAGCCTGGTCTTGCCCATGTATCGATACGCACGCCCTCGTGGTCCGTGGATGTGCCAAACCACGCTGGGAAGCTCAGGAGACGTCTCCGATGTGAGTGGGGTCGCGGCCCTCACATGCATCGAGCATCCATCTGCTTGTCGTGTGGCATCCATGGCAAGGTTTTTTTTCGTCGTAGCCGTTTATGTGCCTGTGTATCCGTCGCGTACTTTACAGCACACCTGTACGCAATACGTCTGTGGTGCGTGCCTCTTCTTTTGTTAAACTTTGCCCTTCGTAATGAGAGCCATTGCGGAACTGTAGAGTACAGAAGAATCATGGGCCTCATCTTCTGGCGCCGTCGAAGAACGAATAAAAATATCCAATGAAATGAAGCAGTATATCTGAGATCCTGTCGATCTCTCTATCCGTGCGCGACAAGCCCTGCCCGGCGTCCTGGTCTTCTCGTTGTTTCTTCCCATGCGTCTGGCAATTGGCATCCGCCATCCGCGCCCGCGGTTCCTGGAGCCCTTGTAGGCCTGGAAGCGCAAACCCTGAATCATCATCACAAGTATGTATGTACTACTCTGCAGTGGGAGGATGAACACCCCATGCGACACAGCAGCAGGGCTCCAGATCGCAAATTATGCCCTAAACTGTAGGCTTGTTTATCGCGTAATTGGCTGGCGGTTCCGTTGCACATGAACCGGCATTGTCCGTTGGTATACAGACACCATAGTAGACACTGGCCCTCATCAAATTGTCGATGCCAGACCAGAACGGACCCAGGTCGGGCAGGCATGTTGGTCAGGCCAGACCTGTCCCAAAGCCGGGTCTCGGGCAGCGTGGAAGAGACGCCCAGCGTTAAAAGGAATGGGAATTGATGGAGGAAGCCGACGTCGGGCCCGCTGTTTTCATGTTTCGTCTCACAATTGATCGACTCCAAATATGCCACCCGCTGTCGGGGCTTGCGAACTGGCGGGGGCAGAAGGAAGCCGGCGGGCCATCATGGCGAGACAGGCCCTACAGGACAGGCCGATGAAGAGGGAGAAGAAAGCCGGACCGATCATGTCTGGAGTGTGCCACTTGAATCCTGCATCTACGCCATCTGGGCGTCACTCTCGTTATCCAGGCTCGGAGTCTGGTCCGGTCCCTGATCTAGCGACTAGAGCGTGCTGTATTTGTTTGCAGCCGGAACATGATCGCCAGCGTCCGTTCCGGGAGGAAAGCACGTCCGGATAGGCCGTGTTGCTGCCGCTAATCATGACTGGTAATCATACGGGGGTGCAAGGCACCGCGCTTTAGAGGCCGGCCGAGAATTCCAGCGGCGTCAATAAGGACCGCGGCTCACGGAGTGCCAATGCTGGGATGAATTATCCGCATGTGTGCACTCATATAGATATGGTACCTGGGTATTATTGGCAGGTCCTGTAAAAACTTATTCAGTGACGACCCCAGCAGGAGGGAGTTAATAGGAGTCGCCGACAGCTCACAAGAAGGGACTTGCGGGCTGATCAACTCGTCTTGGTTGAACCAAGTCAGCATATACCTTGTGAGTGCGCGTGGTTGTGCCTGGCGCACAGCAATGGCCATGTGAATAGTACGGACAGCTCCAAATGCTCGTGTAAATGTGGATAGTTTGGGGATGGAGGAGTCAAGATCCAAAGAAGAAAACGAACGGCCATGGACCTTGACCCAAGCGCAAAGAAGCGGAGGGTGTCCCCGGGGGATACGCCGCCGGGTGATTAAAATTCTGAAGCCAAGGGACCCCTTCATCGACGAGCCCCTTTCCTCACCGAAGGAAGGGATCGGGATGAAAGGACAGGGCTGTCAGGCCAAAGGACGGGCTCCGGGCGGCGGGGACCAGTCGGAAGAGGGTGGTGTTTCTCGTCATCCCAGACGGTGATGGACAGGCGGACAGGCGCACAGCCAAACCCAAAGCCACGAGCCAGCACATGGTGGTATGGATGGGATGGGTGAAAGTGATGGTGATGGGCCGGCCATTGGCGATCCAGCGGCAAAAGTGTCTCCAGCCCAGCAGGGTAGTTGATACTGGGCGGCGTGGAGTACTGCGGTAGGTATGCGAGGGTATACTGCGTATGCTTCTGTGCAGAGTACCAACTACCAAGTAAGCATTCGAAAGGTGTTTGACAAGGCACACGCACGTTGGTGGAGGTGGACTGGCAACCATCAATGAGGCACGGCGTGGGCTTGACCATGACTGCCGCGTGCGGTGCTTGAAGCGACCAAAGCATTTTGGCTGCTTGCCTCGTGCGCAGCGTGTGGGGGACTAGCTGGGAGCAGCGCCGTTTGCGATGTCAACGACGGAAAGGTAGAAAGACAGGACGCGTGGTGAGGTGAGTGACTGCGTGAGGGAGGGATGGAGGGAGGGAGGGAGGATCTGCACGTCCAATCCAATGACGGATCCATCCCGCTATGCTCGATAATTCAAGCACCCAAAAGACTGGGCCAAGGTGACGGAGCTGGATTCCAACTGCATTCCATGGTGTACAGTGTTCGTGAGAGGCTCGCACCAGAGGCACCCGATCTCCCTTTCCTCTTCTCGCGGCACTCAACAAAAAGAAGCCACTATGATGCTGCTGTCTGTGTAGGTGCGCCGGACGTCGGAAAGACAATGGACATGTCCAGCTGAGCTGTGGGTATTGTCTCTGGCCAAGAGCACGATGTTGATAGTGTACTTGGTGTGCTACCTCACTGCCTGCTGCTCCGTCGTTCCTGCACGCTCGAGTATTATTGGAACACTTAGCAAGAATAATGCGTGCCTACCCACCTGCTAAGATGGCTTTGGTGGTCG